TATTAAATCAGTCGTCGACGATTTTGATAGTCGACGTAATCGTGACTAGTCGACTAATCGTGGCAGCCCTACTGCACACTGTCTCCAAGCACCACCTACAAAATTTCAAAAAGCAGCTGCTGCACTACGTTTCATCTACGAGTCTGACATTTGGCAGCCTGTAAGACAACAAGGTGTAAAAAGTCTCAACAAAAAGAACCAACAACATGAAGTCAGCCATTTTTAACTCAATGTATAATTTTGGTGATATTTTCAGATCTTGTATTTTTAGAAACTCCTCTGAGGGATTTGGTCAGATCAGTTATCTTCGTTCAGTGTAAAGACAGCGGTGACGTTAAATTGCAAAGCGAGTTTTTGTGAAATCGTGTAATCATGGTGGGATTGACAAATTTCAATATTTCGCCATCCAGGATGAAATTGCTCATCTCTGTTATAAGAAAGTTGCTCTAAGAAATCTAAAGGAATCGCTCCCAAACTTCATGGTGAGAGTCCCACCCTGCAAAGATTTATATGCCATCTGTCAGCAATTGTTAGAGTGACGCCTGGTAGAAAGAGGAAATGTACTGCAGGTCATAAGAATCCTTCAATCTTGATGAAACGTTAAGGAAGTAGGATGGTATCATTCTTTAAAGTAGGCTCAGTTAGTTAATGCTGTTTTTTTCTGGAAAAACCCTGAAATCAACGTATGATCTGTATCAACGTGAAACACGTGTGAAACCACAGGTTTGGAGCACTCGGAGCTCCAGTGCTGCAACTGTGTCTCAAGTTTGACAAGTTTAAAGACGTCACTGAGTAAAACTAGAAAACCTCCTCCTGTACGGGGCAGAATTATGTCAGCTCAGCTAACAGGAACCTATTAGATGATTTAAAGTATGGTGCTGTGATGAGCACAGCGCCACAGCAGAGACCTGCCTCACTCTACCAGGTGCCTTTGACTATTGTTTGCTGTGTAACTGTCGGTCACAGTTTGCTGTGCTTCTCCACAAACAGCTGGTTTTTCCTTTCCTGTTGCAGGTTGTGAGATTTCAGTTATTCAACAGTGTTTAAAGAGACATGAATGGTCCTTTATAGCATAGATTAGTTTGATCTAATATGTTTTAATTTATTCATCAATTATCTATAGAAAGTCCCAACTTTTGCATCTGTAAACTGCTGACTACTTTGGCCAACAATTAGAATCTGGACATAGGTTTACTTCAATATTTGATTACAAAAAAATTAATTTATATTTATATTCAAATTCGACAACAAAAACAAACGTCCATTTTCACTTATAAAATGTCATAAATATGATTAATCTGCGACTAGAAATATGTGTTAAGACCAGTTGAAATGTTGGCAAACATCCCCGGAAAGCATGAAAACCAGTTAAGCTGGAACAAAACGGCAGCTCTCGCAGGGGTGGCCCTGCAACTTTCATGACAAACCACACAAGGCAACACTTCCCATAATACAGCATGTCGCGTCTGCTCTTTTGTCGCAAAGCAATGAGAAACTGGTGTGGTTCGCAAAAAGACATCGCTACAGAGCGATTATGTAACACTTAGAGGCTTAAAAGTAATAAACACACCCAGTGCACTCTAAACAAACTGGTTCCCTTTTCCTCAAATTTGTCCATAAAGACGAACCAGTCTGCATGTTTTTGACTGAACAAGAGAGCAGAAATCATATGTGAATATCGGCGAAGCTTTTACTAATCACAGACGATAAAGTGCTGCATTCAGATCCACCGTGCAAACACAAGCAGCGGAGCGTTTCTTGGTGACTCAACAAGCTAACCAGACTAGCTTGGTCGAACACAGAAAATCGGCTGAACAGAAACTAGCAACTTCCCACTGGCTGCTCCTACAGCCCGATCACTACACATGTCGGAACAAACCTGTCTCAATGTGTGAAAAGCAGTCGGTATAAAGTCGGCTTACCTTTAATAACATTACTAAAAATCGTAGCCCTGAATTCTTCTTTGGCCTTCTGATCGAAGTCCTGCCCATGAATAATACGCATTTGCTTGAGGAAAGTGGACTTGCCGCTTTCTCCCGCCCCGAGCAATAAGATCTTTACTAGCCTTTTAACATAAGTCTTGTCTCGGTGAATACACTTATCTATCTCTTTGGATTTCCGCAGCTGCTCTGCCTCGCCGCTTGTAAGGAGGCAGTTGGGGAAAAATGCAGATAAAACGGAGCGGGATGGCAGGAAATCCGCCATCTTTGAAACAACTACATCGATACAGAGGGTGGATGGGAGGGCTGAGTCCAGTGCTGCGTTCACGGTCCGTAGGAATCCTCCGAACGACGTTTCGCTTGTGTGTTTCAGCTGTCACAACACAGTCCGTATCGTGACACTCAGTTTTGATTTAAAATGGACGTTTTCTGCAAACGATGCCCTTATTCATGGAGACTAATTTACAACACAGCGCAAAAATCTTGAACAGTATTGTAATATAATTTCCACTTTGTTACTGTATTTAAGAGCTTTGCAGCTGAAAGCAAACTCAGAGACGTGCCAAGAAAGAAGTCAGAACTAACTTGTTAAACTTAAATCATCCTAATAATATCAAAAAAGTACAAAATTAAATAAATAACTAAATAAAGTTGATTCATGTGTGGGCCATTGAGTCATAGGTTGTCTTGTAATTGAGTCACTCAATGAAAATGGCACAATTTGAGTCCCTCTCACCTCTTATGGTGTATTTCATCTATTGGGTCACCAAACTTTCTATTTAAACAGCTTTACATATATATTGAAATGTACCCTTTAATACACTGTAAAAAAAACTGAACTAATTTTGATCTTTTTATGGGAAATAATACAGTTTTTTCATTTGACACCACCTATTTTGTCATGTCCCTCACGGCCTTGATGAAAGTTTACTTTGAAAATACCAAATAAAACTATTTAAAAAGTCAATAAATTTTGGTATCAACCTAAACATCTATTTGTGCTCTTTTGCTGTTAATATTTCTTTTTTTCAGCTTTAATTGTTAATTATTCAATAAAATCACAATTATTCCTGTACCTGACTAACCCTTCAACCCTGTACATGAATGATCCCACCCCCATAAATACAATGGTGTGATCCAGAATTCCATATACATCAGGAAGTGACATCACTGAAGTCTTTTGGACAACAGGACCACAGAGACAGGCAAGTTGCTCCCATCTTTTCCTTTATTTTAGTCATTTATCTTGTGATATTGTGGTCGTCAACCTCAATGACTCAACACCGTAACATGAATTATTACTTATGAAAAACTTTTTTGTTAGTTCATGAATATTTGGTGATTTTGAATTTCATGCATGCCATGTGCTCTCTGTCTGGTATTCACTACATTAAGCAGCGGCCAGTTTGTGCAAAAATCTCAACCCTGTTATGTTTTTGATCGTAACGGGGTTGTGAGATTGTGATGGGGTTGAGAGTTTAATACTTTGGTTGTTAAGTTATATATATATATGTGTATATGTATATGTGTATACACATTTTCCAGTCCTGTGGTCTCAGCCTCAGATACTCAACTAATCAAAGTGATGTCATAAAAAAATAATTGACCAACAAAACATTTTTCTCCTTCATTTATGTCACACAAAGCTCTATGAAACATTTCTCGCGGTTAGTATCATGGTTGCTATGCAACCTGAACAGCGCGACGCAGGCTAGACCGTCCCATTTCACAAGCCTCTCACTTCCGCACTTCTCGTACTTATAGTACGCACCGTACATAGTACGCGTACTTCAAGCGTGCGGACCCTGAATTGGGACACAGCCAGAGCTTTAGCACCATCTCCCCCAGTAGACATAAAGGCCCTCCAGCAATATGGCAGCACCTAAATCCTGTGCTAGATTACCTTCAAGGCCAACATCCACAAGTGTCTGTGCTGCACTTTTTAAGCCTGTACGCGATACAAACAACGAGGAAACTTCTACCTTTTCACTACAGAACTGGACAGAAGAGGATTCAAGGCTGGTTCTTGGAAAAGGAGAACCAGATGGTGTCGGGGGAGCCTTAAAAAGAGCAGCTGACATGATGGTAGCAAAGGGGCATGACATCCCAGATGCAGAAGAGTTATTCAGGGCCTTTTCTGAAACAAAGACAAGTGTGAAACTGTTCTTTGTGAAAAGTGATGTTGAGGAAGCTATGGAGAAAATGCCGAAGCAGATACCAGCTGTTCCTGGAACCATGAGAATTCACCAGGTCGTTACTGTAGCTGCACAACACGGAAGCAGTTTAACTGCAAGTGCTTCAACACCCAGTGTTTCACTTTTGGCCAGAAGACAGAAACGGCTGTATCACAGACAGGCGGTGGGGGGGGATCCATAAAAAGAAATCGAGTGGGAGAGTCCAGAGCTGATTGGTAAATGGTGTATTCTCAAATATGATGATGATTTGTATCCAGGCATCTTTCTAAACATACAAACAACACAAGTCAAGGTCAAATGCATGCATCGTGTTGGGTCAAACCGATTGTTCTGGCCGCATCAAGATGATATCCTCTGGTACCTGTTTGATAATGTCCTTGAACTCATTCCACCCCCACAGGCTGTGACAAAGGGGGGAAGTCTTGAAAGAGGTGTGGAACCGACTCACAAGATGAATTCATGAAACAACCGGCACATTCATGCATATATGCAGACACACACACTGATGCAGGCACACACATGCAAAAACACTCTGACACAGACACAGACACAGGCACTGATACAGGCACACTGAAATCGTTAACTGATTATTATTGTTATTACTTCAACCAGTTCATCAAGT